GCTGCAGAGAGCAATGAGGTCGCCCCTCAGTCTCCTTTTCTCCAAACTAGACAAACCTAGAGTCCTTAGCCACTCCTCACAGGACATGTCTTACACCCCTTCCACCAGCTAGTTTGCCCTCCTCTGGATGCATTCAAGTACCTTAACATTGTTTTTAAATTGTGGGGCCCAGAACTGTACACAGTTTGAGTCAGTGTTTACTTGTTCATAACTATTACTCAACCTAGAAAAGGCAGGAATCTCCAAGCTTTTGCTTTTTTTCATTTTATTTCAAACATAGCGTCATTTCAGTCTTTTGAATTCTTTTGGTTTGATTTTCTCATTTCCAGAATTCCGTAGTTTGTAACTCTACATTTACTGTTGAAGTGCTCTTTAAAAATTACTATAGACTCTTTGTTAAGATTCATAAATAGTTCAAAATATTTCCCAGAGTAGTCTTTAGTCTTCTTTTAAAATAATTTACGGAGGCTTTAGATATGATGTTTTACACCTGAATATATTTCCAGCCCTCACCCAAAAGAGGAACTAAAGCTATCAAGAATCTGAAGACAAATAATAATAGAGGTCTAAATGGACTTATAGTCAGATTTTAAAAGATTCACAAGAGTTTTAGTATTTATATTAATATACCTAAATAGTAATAGTCTTATGAAAGGAACAGTTATTCCCTCTCCCCGAGAGACAAACTAGAACAGGAGATTTAGTGAGACACGTGCACCTAGACCAAATAGGCTTAGCTGGACGCAAACACATTGCAATTGTATTAGGAGAATTCATGATCTGGTACAAAATGCGCATCACTCAATTACCTTGTTTTCCCTTGTTGGTGACTTTTGTCCCTTTTACTGAACACAATGGAGATCTGTAAGTGGTGCATCAGAAAATGGCTTTGATGGTATTTCCATTCTACTTGGACATAAGATTATAAAGATCAAGAATGTTGCACAAAAAGTGGATTTCTCAAAACACATTGGATAAAAGATGCATCCAGGTAAGAATAGCCTAATATACCTCCCTTTCAGGTTAATCTTGAGATACTTGTGTAAAATATGAGAATTTCCCTTCCTGCACTTCTCATTAATCACTTGATAAAACCAAAGAATTCTTCAGTAGCACCTGTCAACTACATAATCCTGTTTAGATCAGAGTAATTATCACCAAATTAGGCTCTTTTTGAAAGAGAATACACCACTAGATATTGTAATTTTCACATAAAAGTTCCTCTTTTTCAGCAACTTTATGTAGAAAAATATACATTGATCTCAGTATAGCTTGGAGGCAGACAAAAAATTATTTCTAGTCATGTTCAGTGTTATTTCAGAAAGCTGATTCTTCCCTTAGTAGCAGATCATATGAAAATTTATATTTCTTATAAGCCTGGACTAGAAGTCTATTTCTGCATACTACATTCATACATCATGTGATGTGGTGACAAACCTTCATCCATTCTATTTATTTACTTTTTTTTAAGCAAGTACATGTTAGAGCTGGTTTTGCATCAATGCAAAGACTTTAAGCTTCTTGTAAGGTCTTTCCCACACTAGTTTCTACCTCTTCTATGATACGAATGTTCTCTGTATTTAGTGCATCCTCCCCCTCACAGGCCTACATTTGATGCCACTCACACACACCACTATCTCTCCAAGATTTTTCTACAGTGTGAACTGCAAATAGAATTTGTCTCCAAAGTACAGATGATTTGCAGGGCTCTTGTACTGTATCGTACTTCAGCTTGTTCACTGAAAGAAGAAAGAGGATCAGAGGCAGAACTGCACGTCCTTTGAAGACTGAGCCAGACCTCCACCTAGCTATTTTTCAGAAACTTCAGAGCTGGAATACTGAGTCTTTGCTATTCTTCATAGAAATGCATTTGATTAGACCATGGGACTGTTATATTTAAAAATGAGTATCTAGAAAGCCGATGGAGATAATACAGTATGTGGTCTAGAGTACCACATAAGGTTTTATTGCTTTATTTATAGACAAGACGTTTGGTCTATTTTGGGGGGGGGCACGTTTTTCCACAGTAATACACTCTAGATTGCTTTGTTATTACAATTTTTTTTATATTTCAGAGCAGAAGATGGTTGTTTTTAAGGGCTAAGTGAGGGAGACAAGAAATTAGTATTTGAAAATACTCCATGAAATTTGTCCTCACCACAAAATGAAGCAAAAATAAAACCACTGTTTAAAATGAAAAAGTAACATAAACTACTAGAAAGTACCCTTCTTTTCTTCCACCAGTTCTTCCAGAACTGACTTTTTGAAAAAAAATTTGCAATTTTTTTCTCCAGCAAGTTACTTATGGGTCTATCAACAATATAATTGCTGTAAACTGATAAAAGAAAAAATACAGTAAAAATTAAGGAACATTATGCTTCCATGCTAGATGACAGAACAGTGTTAAATCCCTACATTCTGCCACTTGAATAGTCTATTGCATTGAAATGGCTATTAAAAGTTTTGTTACATCTCTTCTGCCATCTTCCTTTGAACTCTGCTGGTTTTGACACTGTTGATTAGTGTATGATCATTGCTTTATGTATGTGTACCTCCCTAGGCTTATGTGGATTCCTACAAAACTGAACTATGAAGCACATCTGCTTTCTCTTAACAAATTTTACTTGGTTGTATAATTATAGAGAACGCAAATGTATGTCTTTATTGTAATAAAGAAACACAAAATAGATAAAATAAGATTTTAAAATCATCTTAGGAGTTTGTGAAAACGTTTTTGTATTTTGGTCTGTTTGGTAATGATGCTTCATTTCTGAAAGAAATGCTAAATGTTCACTTAAACTATATTTCAGGGATGTAGTATTTTGGGAGTTACAGTCATATTCAACCATTAATTTTCTATGACCTTATTCTTTGACCTCTGTCTAATCTGGTTGGAATAGGACGTACAGTTCAAAAAGTTTAATGTGAGAGAGAGTCCAGTTGCATGAAGAAACTGGGCTAAAAATAGGTTCAAAGCAGCTCAGTACAGTCCACTTTCTGTCTTATTGCTAGAGTAGCAATAGAAGAGCACTCACAGTGCTTCTGTATTTAACGTTACTGTTCTGAAACATGAGGAAGCACTGCAGAATGTGACTACCATTTACCTTTTTGAGGAGTGATTTCAGTATAAAATTATAAACCCTTATTAGTCATGTCCTTCACTGTCAAGAGAAATTTTGGTTTATTTGTGTATTAATGGCTATTCTGTAAACTGTTTTCCACTGAGACTACTGAGTCAACTACTCACCATACTTCACATATACTCTTACAAGAAAACAAAATGGAAAGAAGTTGCCAGCGACCTTATTTTTATTCAGGAGTACATTAAAAAAAAAAGGTATGCCACAGCTTTGGTTGACTGGAATGATACGCATACTTAAATTTTAACAGTATTTTTTTAAAATGGTAAACAACTGTACATTCAGTTGTGTGCAAGACCAACACTGTCAATAACACAATTACAGAAAATGAAATGTTTTAAGTATATAGCTGTGAAACTCTTCATATTTTTGGTATTTAATCAGCATTTTTAGAATTAGTCTGCTGAAGCCATTTCATGTGTGGTAAACACTGAAAACAGACCCTGTGGCAAACTGAATGTAATTATATTTGCACTGGCTCTGGAGACAAGTAAGAGCCCTACTTAAAAATATTACTTGGAAGCTACGTCTTCTGCAACTTAAATGTGAAAGGAATTATCTAACTTGTAGTTTATGAAGTCCATTATTAATAATCAGCCACTTGAACTTACAAAAGTGGACAATATTTTCATACATTTGGGATAATTATACTCAATAATTATACTTACAATTCAATAATTTTTCATGCCACAGATAAAAATCACAACTGCTGAGACCAGATGATTACACAACCTAATAACTCAAAATTCCACTGACTTACTAATGTTTCTTACAGCTCTTATAAAATCTTTAATTTTTTTTTTTTTTTTTTTTTAATGAGAGCTGTTGTCAACCACCTAGATAGGAAGGAGAGAGGTATGAAAATTCCCAGGCCACAATGAATCCTGAGTATTTTGCAACAATAAGCACTGAGTTCTGGTAGACCAGTCTCTCTCTACTCCTAAGGGATGATAATGAAGCACAGATGGAATATTTACAATTTTTAGGATAAACTTACTAGCAGACCAGCTGTAACCATTTCTCTTTTTACAAAACCTGCTTTTTAATATCATCTTTTTGTAGAAACATATACCAAAGCAAATAAAACTGTCTTTTTAGTAAACAAAAGAAGGTTTTGATAAAAACATGTAAAAGACAGTTTTATCCACTGGATGATACACAGGTACCCGTATACAAGCATGTATACTAAACAACAAAAGAGAAGGTGTATTTGAATGTTACAGGTCTGATGTAAACACAGAATAAAAACAAGGGGAGTCAAAACTGACAATACATTAACTCACTCCGTCATGCTTAAGTATTGCAGCATATATGATATAAAATAATTAAAATGCAGAAAACATCTGCTTATCTTCAAAACCAGGCAAAAGAGATCTCTTTGGAAATGTAGTTAAATTAAAAAAAAGTTTCTAGCCAAATGTGTGTTACATTTCAGCCCACAAAAGAAATTCACAGGGAGACTATAAACTCCTGAAAATAGAAGTTTACAATGACAACAGGGAATGCCTTCATTACAGTGACATCAACAGAGCCACTGTAACACATACCACTGCATTGGTATTTTCTTTTTGTACAAGTTTACAGTATATATTTGAAGATGCTGAAAAGGTTCATGTATAGCTTTTCCATTCAAGGTGTGCAGTTCATCAAACTGATAAATATATTTCCTGAAATGTTTCAGAAAATGAGAAAAGACATTTGACCTAAATATCTAGCGTGCACACTAGTTAACCATGTATAAACTAAAGACGCTTAAGTGCACTAAAAACTGAGGACATGAATGGCTTTTGAAAGCTCAGTAATTTAGCTGAATACACACTAAAGAATTAAGAAGTTGCTTCCAGTTTTGTCTGATCAACTTCATTTCTTCTCAGAAAGAGTTTCACCACGAAGGTCTCGATCTAGCGAGGCCTCTTCAAGAGATAGCTTAACATTAGATCCACAAACAGAAGATGCAGGAGTAGCTGTACAGATAAAGAAAAAAATACTATTATGTTTTACACTTAAGAATATTCATACTAAAAAGTATTAAAAGCAAGAAAAAAGCAAGTTACCTAGCACAGAAACACACACAAAGCTACACTGTGTCTAATGAAACCAGAAATGCAATGGGATTTTGTTCTAGAGGCCCTCTAAACAGCACAACCATCTGAAAGCAGACAGTGTAGCTGGCCAACAGTTCAGACTGTATATACTAATGACTCAATGTGTCATCGTGTTTTTGGCAGCTTTAGTCAGAACCTGGTTGCAGAGTTCTACGCTAAACATTCAGAAAACGTCTTAGAAATTCTGCCATTTAAATAAATAAATTTCTTCTGCTTGTCTTACTTGGAGATAGCTGGAAATACTGTCATACTTCAAAACCAAACCAAACCAAACCAAACCCCATGAATTTTCAGGCCATAGAAATTCTTTCAAACACTTCAGAGGATAAGTAACTGTTCACTGCTAAAACTGTTTGTGCAATGTTATTGAGTTCTCACTGACCCATAAAATGATCCCACTTACATAGATGGGGAATGTTAAGAAATGGCTGCCTGAAGAAATTACGTAATATGTAAGAAAGAATCCTACTGCTGGAAATAAAGGAATCAAGTGAGCCATTCTGCCTCCGATAGGTTACTTACATAAGGTTGGTTTCTCTATTGCTAGCCTTTCAGGCAAAGTTTCAAGTGGTGTTGGTTGAATTTTTGCAGGGGTATATGTATTTAAAGAAATTTTTCTTCCTGACAGTGGAATCATGTAAGTTGGAGAAGCTGAAAAGGGGGGAAGGGGAAGAAAAGATACACATCATTAATAATAAAAATACTCTCACCTGAGCAAAACGTCTAAAATAGTAGTCACAGAACTGCGTATCTGTCCAGCAATATAGATGTCACAGTTATACAACCTGCAGCTCAGCTACCGATTTTTGACTCTAGTGTCAAAACCTCACAGCACAAAAGATAAATCTAAAAATCTCCTTTTTACCTCAGGACGCAACATGATGACTTCATGTGTCTAAGGCAGCTAAGCCAAATTTCAGTAAGAGATGGCTTGCCAGAAGACTGGCAAAAGCATTAGTGCTACTTCTCATAGGTTATGAAGATTGCACTGGAATACACATTTAGTCCAGAACACCTATGAAAAGTGCATACAATACATTATTCTCTAGACAACTTCCAAATGTTACAGAAAAGCAGAAGTAGAGCAAAGCACCTCTAGCCTCAACTCTATCAGGTCTAATTTCCAACCACTCCTTTGTAGAAAGGTGACAATCAGACCACCAAAGAAGTATGACAGATTTTTAATTATTTTTTTTGTCTCGTGTACTCTAAATTCTGAACTGATTTTGAAGAGACACGAACTTCCTAACCAGTGTAACAAAGCACATAAAATAGCTGAGAACTTTAAAATACCCATAAGCCTCCCTGAGTTCTTTTTCAGTAATATCAGTTTTCTTAAATTGCTTATCCTCTTTCTCAAATATAGGAGGCCTACACTATCAAATTATCTGCTGATTAAAATCTAAACTGTATAAACTAAAATAACAGAAAAAAATGAAAAATTCTATAACAGGGAAAAAAGAAAAAAATTCTAACAGCTAGGTAACTTTTGTGTCAGTACTGGTAAGTACAAATTTTCAGATCAACGCATAAATCTTTAGACATTTCCTCAAGAAGAATGATTTTCAATCACCTGACACGTGAATTATAAGCACCCTAATGTGGTAAATCTGACCTAACTGAAACCATTTCTAAAGACACAGCAGTAGAATCAAAGTGGGAAGTCATCTTCCCAGAGACATGCACATGGATAGAACTCAGTTTGCATTTCATCTCAAGATCGCTTAAAAATTAAACATGCAGGTAAAACTATTAAAAAAATAAGTAACTACAAGGCACTCCACAGATGAAACCCCAATTAGTATTGAAAGAAACAGGAAGTAACAGAGTTTTAAGACATAAAAGTCTTGTAAAAGGCAACACGACTCTGCTGAGATTACTGCCAGTACAACAGTACAATATAAAGCCGGAAGTACTGCATGCTCACTAAAAAGCACTCCTTGTAATTCAGCTAACAGTGTGGAAAGCACAGAGAAGCTCTTAATGTGAGGAAATAAACCAATTACAATTTCATTAAATACTGAATTTAATACCTCAGTCAACAGAGACATTACTTCAATGCATTATGACAGTGTCCATACCACAAAAGGTTACTGAAAAAATTAAAATTATGGTTTATGTACATATTTCATTTTTTTAAAAGCAGTACTCTCAGTTTACTTGTTAGCTGTGAAATACTGGAAAGATTAACCAGACAGTATTTAACAATTTAAAATGAATATAATTACAAACTAAAATCAGTACATGTCTCCTGTAGATTTTCCCTTGATGGAGCAGCAACAGAGGCAAGAAATTCATCCACCTGCTTCAGAGACAAGGAGTTATGTAGGGTTTCCAAAGGACAAATAGAAGGCACCATGGAATATAGTTCAAAACCTAGAAGAAAAATAATAAAAAAAAGAGATTTCCAAACATAAGACAGGATTTAAGCTATTACATGGGCAAGTAGAAACGCATAATAAAAAGTACTTATTTTAAATCAGCACATGCAGATGTAGTACTCTTGAAATCATGTACACGAAGTATTATAGGAGTTGGAACAAGATGTGCCAATTTCCAGGGTGTACTAAACTAAAGGTACCATGTAATACAGCACGGGATACAAACTGCAGGTACACGTAAAGTGGTCTTCAAACATTGTAACTGCGCTCTACTCCCAAATCAGTTCATGAAAGACAACTTTGCTCTAAGACAATCTTAGTAAATCATTAAAAAAAAAAAAAAGTCAGGAAATGGTAATATTTCTCCTAGTCATTCTCATACCTGACACAACACTAAATAGATAACTTATTCACGCAAGTAAAATAGGATAGCTGTGTTGTCAACTCTCAGCAGACAAGAGCTAAAAATGCTACAACTTTCAAGAAATAAATTTGGAGAATTCACGTTCTATCATCTTGAGTATTCTCTGAAAACAAACTGTTGCCTTCAATATCAAAGGAAAAGCACTGTTAACACTTTTGTACCGTGAGGTTACATGTTTTAACTTTTAAAGACATATTTACACCTACCTTTAGGCATTTTAAAACAGTACTTAAAAGACTAGAAGTTTAATATATTAGAACAGGTAAGTATAGCAACCCAAAACCTAAAAATTTATTGGACTTGGCTTTTCTACATTAGTATTGATCATACACCAACCATGCATATCCATATTACTAACATACTAAGAAGCATTTAAACATCTCAGCAAAAAAAATAAAATTGCAGCTCTCTGAAGTGATGCAAGTTTGATAACTCAATGAACAGCTCTTCATCCAATTGCATTTCAGAAAAGGAAAATACGTCCATTAGTGTTTTCAACATACAGCTGTAACATTACAACTTTGCAATTCAATAGTGTAAATTTTCAGTTGCTACATTTCTTTTAAGATATTTGAATGAAGAAACAATAGTGAATGAATTAAGGCTTAGAATTTCAGTTCAAGGTACATTTATTAGATAGCATTATGACTGTGAACTGTGCCCTCCCCTAAAGTAATAAGCATCAGCATTCCTGTGATATCCAGTGCTTCCCCATTCACTCCCCATTTAGTGTTTTACATAGAGATGTAACTCAACAAAATTTCAAGCCCCAAATATCTGTATTTATATTTGGATTCACCTTGGTCATACTCAAATTTGAGGGAGAGTCGCTTCAAATATACAATCAACTGAAGTGTACTTATGTCAGCTTCACTTATATTACAAATAAAATGTTGCACTTCATGGAAACTTGTTTTCATGTACAAAAGAAACACCACTGCATACTTAATTTCTATTTTCCTATAAAGGCACTAGCTAAGCTTCAGTGTAAGCACTAAGATGTTTGGCATACATATTAATATCCTAAATAACTATGCATGCATGCAAAGCGCAAACCCTTTCTTTGCATTACAGTAAAATGTAAGATTTATCTCTTTACTCTGACAGAAAAGTCACTTATCACTTCAATGAGAACATTTTTTTTAATTTTGCAGATTGTAGTGGGACAATGTCAGGTTAAGCTTTTAATAACGATTACTGTTATAGTGTAGTTTTACAGAAAACCAGAAAGGAATTTCAAAAGACACCCATACCCTCTAAAAAAAGAAAAGAAAAAAGGTTTCTTCTTTCAGGAATTTCCCTTCCATAGGTTTCACTTTTGACAATTCTGCTATCAGATAGCCATATCCCAGCATGTTTTTGTAGTATCTTTGTGTCTAAGGGATATGACCTAGAAGATAGCCTGGAAATATATCTGCAGTGTTTTATTTGAATATTTTATGATAAATATTTTCCGATATTATAAGAAGTAAGTTTGAATTTAATGATGAAGCCTGACAGTATCCCCTTAAAAAGGCAATTTCCTGTAAACTAACAGCCTTTGAGTTTTGACTATATTTATTCTTAAAGCACTGTCCCTACAAAAAGGCAAGACAATGAAAGGGTTAACGCAGCATCTCAAAAACCCACCCTCCTGTCTTACATTTAAAAGCTATAGAGACATACCACTGGAGCCTAGAAATTCCACAGAGGAAATGGACCAGCACCTAAAGAGGTGTGGGTGTTCTGCACAGAGGCCCAGAAAATAAGGTAAAGCACTGTCAGAAGATACTTGTTTCATCATGTTCCTTGCACTAAGGATGGGGGAGGGGGTAGTCTGAAATGAGTTAAGAGGGTGTGATAACATAAAAATAAGAACAAACAGAGTGAAAGGGAGGAGGAGAATCAAAATGATAGTCCAGAGGACAGACAAAACAACATCAATATGTTCGTATATTAGTAGAGAACCCTTGGAAAGTGACAATATACTTAGGTTTCATAGCAGCTCACGCAGCATGCATTAATCTTGTAAAAGATGTGTGGTAAAACTGCTGTATTAAATGAATCAGAAGAATCAATGCATTCATTAAAAGCAATTTGGATCCTTTTTTAAGGAATGTAGTCACAAAAAGATAGTGCTAAATGGAACAGAAAGTAATTGTATTATTAGACACTGATACTCAAATGCAGTTCTTACATTCTGACCTTGTATATTTTGGTATTATTATTTGGTTTCAGTCTAAAGATAAAAAATGGACTTTTAATTTTCCTACTTGAAATAGGACACTAGAATTGGCCTTTTAGATCAAACATTGTCTTAATGGTATTAATTCAGCCTTACTATAGCAGTTTCCCTTCAAGAAGCACTGCAATGCAAAAAGTTGCTATGGATTCCAAATGAATATAATAAAGGACTATTTGCTTCTCAGCAAAGCCAAACAAAAACTCCATCTTTTTTTTTAAGCTTGTTTCTAATCCAATATATTTTGAATCTAACATGAAAATGCTGATGATTTCCACTGCAGTTTCAATAATAATCACCATCACTGTACTCAGCCAGCAGTCATGCATGTTTTAAAACTGCAATTAAGAAATCTAGAAAACCTACATTAAGATCCAGTGGATGCTGAAGACCGAGTCTACTTTTCATGAACCAGATACATTTTGGGCCTATTTAATCACGTAGAAAGGTAGGCACAAAATATTTTGCTGAGGAAGAGAAAGACATACCTCTGTCCTGTGTGTTAAACCAGACTTTTTTTGTAACTATGGTAGACTGAAGACAAGTTAACTCTCACTCTTGAAGCTCAAGAGGTCAATGTAAGCAACAGGCAGCTCCCTTGCTGTGATTTTTAGTGCAATATTTAAGTAATTTGCACATCTGATGAACAGAGATAAGGTAAAATAAATTTTTGTCTGATGATAAATATAGCAATTTAGCAGGAATCGAACCAAAGCTTCTGCTTTAGTTTTTTAATTTAGCACCACTTCAAGAAGATAGTCATAAACTCCAGTTGTCAATTCAGTGATTTATTTTAGAATTAGAAGGCTCAGGTAAACAGCTCAGCAGAAGAAAGACAAAGAAGCAGCAGCAGCTATCAAGAAGTGTATGCCCAATAAAGATCAGATTTAATTCTGTTTTTATCTTGTACCATACAGTCTGAGTACACAAGAAATTGGGGAGAATAATTTCTTACAGAGATCATGATTAACAGCAGTACTTCAATTTTTTGAAGGATTTTTCTAAGGAATGAATTTTGATGTTGTACTTACACTAATGAATGGTAAAGAAGGGATTTAGGATACCTCATGATTACAAATATATTTGGAGTTGTGCTTGAAGTTAGGAACGACAGACAGCTGGATGATACTGTACACCCCGTATTTGAAATAAAAATAAAAGGGATGAAGCAAGGAACTTTTTGTTTTCGTTTTTGTTTTTAAAATAAAAGCAAAACGTACCATTGGTTGGGTGTCGAGCAAATGAGATAGAAAACCTTTTAACAGCAGAACCGCGTGTGGTGTCTGAGAAAGAGAAAAACAGGTACCTGAAATTTGTAACAGCTACCAAAAGAGGGAAATTTTAAAAAAGAAAAGGAAGAAGAAAGAAAAAAAGAAAAGATGAGAAGGTATTAGAACTGAGTAGCATGCAGAAGGGACCAAGGAAAAGGGCTAAAATCTAAATAGAGGTTAAAAAGAAGAAAATTTGGATTGTTGATAACTACGAGATGTGTAATGAAGTGTATGAAAACAAGCAGAATGAGCTGGTGATTCTGGCATACAAGGTTATATCAGGTTAGAGTCTAATACTGAGTAGTGAATTGGGGGGAAAACAGCATGAATACTGTTTCACCTCAGAGTTACAAAGGTGTGCTTTGGCATCTTTACATTCTGAAATCTAGTGAGAGAGTTTCTCCTCTACCCCAGATTATCCCAAACTGAAAATCTACTGCTCCTTTTTTATCCAAACCCCACCGAAAAAAGGTCAGGAATCCTAAAATTTTCACCGTCAGTATTTAGTTTATTAGTTTATCATCTCTTTCAATTCTTGCACATGCTCCAAGTAATTTATTTTATTTCAAGATCAATAAGTAATGATAAAACCCAAAATTTAAAATGAGAAAAGAATTTCAAACTCAAAATTTTAGTTTACTCTAAAAATGCACTTGCTGAAATCTCCTGGAACGCATTACAAATCTGTGAGCTAGTGTTCAGTTCAAGACAGAAACAAGAATTAACTATGCTATTAAGTTAAACATAAGCAAACTATGGGCAATAAAGAAGCAATAGAAACTCATACAATTAATACCAAGGCAAAGGATTCTAGGATTCCATTAAAATCAGTAACCTAGGATTTATTTTTAGAAATTTAATGTAGCACGTGGGTTTGTGCGTGCATGTGCGAGAGTGTGCACATACCATCTATGAAGCCAGAAGAAGTCAGCTTTTTACGATGAGTACGAGCATAATCCTGTAGGTTAGGTGCACTTGAAGAACCCCCGAGCACTGAGGTGCTAAACAGGCCCGCACAGTGAGACCCTGATGGGAGTTAGAGAAAATACATACAACAACCAGGTGTTCGTCCATTCACATTGAGGATGCATGCAGCATGCAAGCACATGGCTCTTACCACACAAAAGGCAGCTTTTGGCAGTGCCTTGGACAGGTTCACAATATGCTTGTAATGTCAGAGTGGTACTTGTAGGCTGAAACTATAATAATTTATTGTGCTTCTACTCATGACACAGCACCCTCTGCTATATGTGCAAAGAGAGGACTGGCTTTAACAAAGTGAGTTCTTGTCCTGTTTTCACATTTAGTAAAGAAAAGTTACCAGTTAGCATCAATGTAAACATAACCAAAACAACAAAACAAAACCAAGATGATGATGATGTGAAAGTTGTGTGTTTTAAAACCTGCAGTTCTGAAACTAATATAAACTGGGAAAATACTGCTCGTTGCTTTCATCTGAATCAACCCTCGAGATGATAGGCTGCAGTGAAGTACTCATGCATTTCCACAAACTTAATATGGAAATGTGTCCCTTCTAACCCCAACAAAATGTTAACCAAATTGGAAATACTCTATTCGTATTTCAGCTACCATTATTGATAATGCTACAAACTAAAAATACCTAAAAGTTCCCTCAAGTTTAGCTTGAATTCCTTTCCTGAGAAAACTTTTGTACATCTCCATGCAAGTCAGAGTACTTCTGTTACAACTCATACATTCCTGCCACTAGGATGGGAGTTTTGACAAATCACTGAAAGTCACAGGCAGAAATATAAAAATAACTTTTACAATCATCAACCATGAATGAAATTTACATACAACAATGAACAAAGTGGAAAAAAAATATTGAAGTTTTTTTCCTTTAGTTTTTACTACCAGTTGAAAGGAAAAGTGGTTTTTCACTCGGAACTTATCTTTTACATTTTAGATAAGTAGTGGCAGATTTTTCTTTTAAAAAAACCAACCATCTATCCAGTGATACTTCCTTTCATTACTTTTAATGACCCAGTAAGGGGAAACATTACTAGCACATGTGACCAATCACAGCCAAAATAAATTTGTGCCTGGTCTGTGGCAAAAGCTTTTCACACCAAATGTAATACCTTAATCTATGCACAGAAATACATCAACTTCCACAAGCCATATTGTGTCACACACTGGCAAAAGAAAAAGTGTTTAACTTCAGCAAGCACACAATAAAAAACATGACTTTGATAAACAACAGCACCTGATGTATGCATTTTACTAAGGAAAAAATATAATAGGGAGAAAAGTATCACAGAAAGATTAGACATACAAAAAATACAGATCTTTACAAAGAAAGGAAATGCTACTTCTAAGTTTATGCATATAGCTTTTGCATTTTCTAGACTTCATTTTTCCCATGAAAAGACACACTTACAGAAAAAAATGCAATATTGATTTACAGTAGTGCACGATTTCATATTTTAGCATATGAGTCATATGTATGCCTGTTTCAAAAGAGCAACAGTAAAGCACCACTTGAATTAAAAGAATTTGAAACAACTCATTGAATTACAGCATGATTCATTCTAATGCTGAAAGGAAGAAATTGCTTTTAGGAAAGGGAATGTGTGCAAAACCCATTATATTATCAAGAAACTTCAGGTTTGTTCCCCATTCCCCTCCCCTTGGTCAAGCACCTTCAATTCCATCAATTGCCCACAGTAGGAAACATTAATTTTCAAGAGAAGTCTTTTAACAGTTTCCAGTGCAGGCCATTTCAATCCAAAAGATTACTGCAAAACCCAAAAACTCCGTCATGAACGACATTATCTTAAAAAACTACTTTATGTCAAAAATAATCCTGTGTACCTGTTGTGAGCAGTATAGAGTCAGTAGTGTGAACAGTCTCAAACAACTGGGTCTTTTCAGTTATAATAAAACTTTTGCTGTAGAAAAATTGTCCAGTTCATAGGCAGACACTGAGCATATATTATTTAGAACAAGTACTATTGGCTCCTGTTAACATAAAAGCTATTCAAAGAATGTACAACTGTACAGAACAATGGGCAGATGAAAAGCTGCTAACATCAAACAAAATTTCAATTATAGGCACATACCTAGACCACTCTGCTTTTGTTCCAGAATAGTTCTCGGTGTTCGTAAATTACTATTGCTTTCTGATAGGACCTGGACATAAAAAACAGAAAAATAAGGGAAAGTAGAACAGCAGCATGAAACATCCATTTAACCTGATACAGCAGCCTGTTTCAGACAGACAAGTGTTAATAAGCTTTATGATATGTGTTAGTAAAAATATGTAAAGGAAACATGAAAGATCATGCAATATCCCCTTCTGAAGGGAGTCCATTTCACATATGAGTTCCTTGCAATGAAGGGGTGCAAAGCAAGCATTCAGAATGAGAAAGGACACAGACCAAGACCAATATGAGAACAGACGTTTGAGACATTTTATTTCATTTTACCAAATGCACTCTCCTAAACTGCGCCTGTATTGAAAAAAAGGAGGGGAGGGAAGTAAAGACAGACAAGCTATTGAGGACACCATACAATCACTGATCCATGCACGGGCTCAATCAATGTAATCTTCAGATGCTCACAGCCTTTACTGATACAAACTTTTCCTATGTAAATAGTTTTAGAATTTTCCACAATAAAAAGAAATTATGAAAATTTTCAAAGAAAAAGGATATGATTAACAGAACACCATCCATTGTCATACATGTAAACAATATCTCGACATACTAAACAATCTTTAGATCTTCACTGGTACTTCAAAAAAATTTACTGTTTCTTTTTTCCTGCCTTCCCCCCCCCCAGTATTTGGAAAAGTTTTCAAAATATTGTACAAGTCAATGGATGATGTGCTGTGTTGGGAGCTTTAGATACCTCTGGATACAGAAGGCAAGAATTATTAGTGCTAGAGTTTTTTCCCTGCAATAGTTAATTCCAGGCCACTGAAAATATGATATATGCAAAACAAGTTTTGAATAGCAATATGAAATACCAAATAAATTATTTTAAATGGTATTGGTTGCAATTATTAAAAAAAAGTTTTTCAATTTACCTACCACCAAATTAAGCAATGCTGTTTTTAAAGTCTTAAAGGACAACTAAACCAAAGCAGAAATCTCTTTCATTAGGCAGTAGACTAAGTCTTTTTTTACTGTGGTAACATTTGCAATTCCTATAAAGAAACCAAATTTTTAGGAAAATGTGTAACACATTCAGTGGAAAAACATGCACTTGCTCTTTTTCCCCCAAACATTCTCGGCAAGTAATTTTAAGAAGTGGAAGAATTTGCTTCAAACATAATCCATAACAAGGGATTAGATGTCCTTAAAGACAGTTGGTTGTTGCTTGGAATGCATAATAATGTTTAATGAAGTAAAGTTTAAAAACCTGTTGCCATGAGCCAAAAATACTGGATGTGAAAGCCAATGATTTAGGGGAGACAGGGGAAGAAGTGATTTGTTCCCCTGATCTGCGTCTTCGACGCCCAGTACCCACACCACTGGTGTAATGCAGCCAGGTACCAATACACTCTGGGCTAGACACACTCAGGGGGCTCTCTTCCTGGAAGTGAGAAAGGGGGCAAAAAACAGCAAAGCATGCAAAGTTAGATTCAACAGAGCCAAATGAACAGAAAAGAAAAAAACCCAATCTGCTTGCACCCTTTTATAGACTGCTTTTAAAACTATTAAACAGCTAATAGGGAAAAGTAATATTACAATATTAGGAAGCTATCAGTTCCACTTACATTTTTTCATCCAATTACATCTTTTAATACAATACTTTAATCAAATTTCTGGTAGACTAATTATTAGATATGAGAGAAAAGTAATTGTTATCAATAATTCATTCATAATTTTAAGAATTTCCCACATGTTGGAAACAGAACATCTGTTATCTTTGACATACTGTTTAATAGTTTTCCCCCTCTAAGTACCTTAAACTTTCCTATTCATTACTTAATAGTTTTCATTCCTCGTCTATAACCTTATCTAAGTGATTCTGATTTTTAGAATTGCCTTTGAGACTTTACAGCTGACTCACTGGAAGTAGCAGCAACCTTAAAAAAGCCCTAAAAATTATCTGATGCCAGACACCTATTAAGAGTTATAGGGAGGACAGTGTCAGGCTAAGACTCCCCCAGTCGTAAATCATCACATATCACTAGCAATCAACATTTTTAGCAACATGGAATTTGATTTCCAATGCAGATGAGCCTTACTTTCTTGTTTTACTTTGAACTCTGCTTTTTTTTTTTATTTTCATGACTCAAGCACAGTTGCAATGCTTCTGTAAATATTGCTGACTAAACTCTAGATTAAAACTTCCATATAATCTCACACCTGACAGTGTCCTTTTAGATTAACGGACATAGGTGAAGAGAGAATTGCCTCGTGGCAGGGAAAAGGTTCAAGGCAGTTGCAGTTTAAGTTGCAATGACTTTTTTTTAAACTCTTCAAAATACCATTTGATTTAAATATTCCGAATACTGGTTTTGCAGATTTCAGTAGGCCAGATGAAACTTCCAATTTTACTTTTTCAAAAAGTTTCTTAGTGTATGTTTTCTTTAAATTGGCTATTTTCTTCCAGCAAATAAACTCTGAATGCTGAAACTCATTCCATCTGAACATATATTATCTGCACAATCAAAATTTAGCAAGTTATGTTATTGACACCTTTTGAAAGTAAGTTCTACATAATTTATGAAAATGAAAATGGTGAAAAGTTTGAAGTAATAAGACTATTAAGTTGTGTGTATGTGAACTCGTAATTAGGAGGGGAGTTTGCATGATCATAGTGAAAACAAATTTTAAAAATACAAAATTTGATGTTGTGAGCATTTGTTTATGATAAAACTTGGAAATAGAAAATGTAAGACATTCACATTTATTATCTCTGTTAATTTATGAAAGTCATGTGAAGTTATACAGATATCCTTATAGAAGGGAATCATGCATCTTTTTCTCTCCACACTACCAGTAACCAAGTTACTTGCAAATCTGTAATACTTTCATTGCATACAAACAACCCATTCCCAACACAAACATGAAAGGAAAAGTTTTTGGTGTGAATCTTCATTTCTGATGGTTTTAAGCAACTGAAAATGAGGCAATAAGAAGCTGTTAGTCTGCTTCTAGCATTAATATCACAGAAGTGCCACTATGCACCATCTGAAGCTCTGCCACTGAACCATACAAATGGTATCAGTGATACTGCCGTGCATTCCCCCACCTCCACCTCTGTGACATTAAAGTTGTATCTGTGAAGCACAGCTAGATGTCATGGCCTTCAAGACAGGAGACTGAACTGTTCAAGATGTTATCTAAAGAATTAATGAAACATAAATTCCACCCACTTAAAAAAAAAAAGCTTCCAGTTTATTCTCTTACCTTCAAAAGCTTGACAAGCGGAGCCACTTTCACCCCACATGAAAGTAAATACAGCAGAAGACATGTCTCTCACCTACTGCACCTCCCCTACCACCCCCAATCCCTGTGTTCCCTCTTAGCATGACTACCCTGAAGGTTTGCTTAATTCCCAACAGTAGCTGTCTTGTAAGGATGAATATGAAAGCAGTGTATGTTAGTTTGAAGATGTAGGTTTAGACTGAAAAAGTCTTCATTTTCAAATATGGCTTTAAAAAAAGGAAGTAAGTCTTATAAAAAAAAAATTAATTAAAAAAAATTTCCTTCAGACAAATTGCTGCCATGCAGGGTGTCCCACAGAATAAGAGCAAGCCTTTGGTAAGACACAACATCATACTGGTTTTGTGTAATCAAAAGCAGAATTACATTTGGTTTTGTTTTGTTAAAAGTAAGCAAAAATTAATTTCTGTGAAAGACATTATCTGGAACAAAAACACTTACTTCAACAGAACCAATCTTCCTGGATCTTGGAAGGGGTGACTTTCTGTGTATGTGAATTGGGTCTGATACCATTGGCTTGAACATCACTACTGACCGATCTGCTTCATCTCTTTTAGGAGCATGTGCCTCCTCATCACTATCATTTCTATGAGAGGTTTTCTTCGAGCCTTCATTCTACAAACATATAATTCATTTTCAACTTAGCTGCACAACTTGCAACATGTAGACAGAAGTGGCTGTTAAATAAATCTTCTGTGTAAACATAAAGCAAGCTGATTTTAAAAACAGAAGATGTAAATCACATATTATTGAACAAACTGCTCTAGACTTTAATAACCCATGTGTATTTGCTCCTAATCAGCCACTGCATACGACAGTGTGGTCCTAATTAAACACGCTGTTCAGCCATCATATCTTATTCCAATTTTCTGTTGACATAGTAATATAAACCTGGCCCCACTAATCAAGACCAGAATTCCAGCCAAGCGTTGCTTTCATTCATTTCTATAAAAGCAGGTGGCAGCTCCACAGACATGCCCATACATCTTTGAAAACATCAATTCTTCCTCAATGATCTGTTGAGGAACACGCCGAACTACCTAACATTCTTACATATTTCTTTCAGTTGCCAGAATATCATTGATGAGACACTGATGTTGATATCTTTTTTCTTACAATGGGTATTTCATATTTCTAGCAAAAATTCTGGCAAAGCCAAAGAGGGCCCAAATTATCTGTGTCCATTACCACAGTGTCCATTCAAAATAGAATAATACATTGGGACTGCCTATATTTCACTAGATATTTTTTTACCAAAATAAACATCACATTTGTATTTTTTACCTAACAATTTCCCACTGTTTATTTCAGGTATGTCCATGTCCAGAAAAACTAACTTTTGCTTTAAAGAAAGGCATAATTATTACCTCTCTGGAGGCAGGTCTGTATCCATATCCAGCTGGTAAATTTTTATCTTCCTCACAGCCTTTGGCTCCTGGACTAAAGTGCAGCTCTACATGAAAACGTTCTTCCGAAGAAAGTTCCTGAAGGAAAATTATTAAATAGGTTTACACTTTAATACATAGCTTAGCACTACTTGTTTCTGAAGATATTTATCCATTTTAAATACCTTGTTTGGATCCTCATAAAGCATGATAACAATCTGTGTCATGTAATTGAGTTCATTGACAACATTTAAATAATCCATAGCTCGTTTCCATTGTTCATCTTTTGATTCCTTATGAAGGGGAAAAAAAAGTCAACAAATAAAGCCCAACTATTTTCTTTAAAAAGACTGATGATTTCCCTTTTTCCCCATTTACATGGATTTTACATTCACAGCAGAAGTATGAAGCTTTTCACAGCTAAAGAAAAAAATGATACAACCATAAAAAATAAAGTGACTTAAATTACTCATAAAATGAATAAAAAGTGGAGATCAGAACTTTTTATATTTTATTTCAGCTTATCTCTCATGTTCTTTTGCCAATGATGATGTATGTCTTAATAGACAGAGGCACTGTTTTAAAGTCTCCTGATGGGAATTGTTCATTTTGCAATAAACTCATTTCAACTAGTATATTGCGGAAAATGTTTCTAGATATTGTTCTACCAGTCAAACAGACAGAGTAAATGAAGGCTTATAGTATATAGAGGAAATACAACCATCACATCCCAAACTATTTAAAACGAATATTCACCTTTTTTGATGCTCTAGAAAAAATACATTTAGCAATCCAGCTTAAAGGAAACTTAAAAGCTTATCAGCCTAAAACTAGAAGTGTATCTGCTGTAGCATATGTCATAGAGGTCTAGGATTAAAAATGCTTTTGCCATCAGTGAGTTTAATCATCCATTTCCAGAGGCAAGTATGTCAATACAACCATTTCAAAAGTTAACATATTAATCAAGCTCTATCTTGGAAGCAGCCATGTAGGTTTTTTGGTGTCGCATTTATCCTCTCCAAAAGCTTAGTTAGGTAACTGCTGAATCTGGAGACCTTGTCTTTTTTAGTCCTTGGTTTCAAAGCCAATCAGATGAAGAATAACGCATAACCTTCAAGATATTCTACGACAGTATAGGAAAGTAAGACAAAACACTGGAGAAACTTAGCACTACATGAGCACTCTTGAAGTCAGGTAGGGAGGTCTTGACAATATGTCAAATGGTCAAAAATAATAAGCCAGTCCAAAAGTGAATTCAAGAGAACCCTGAATGATAACTTGAAGGAAAAAGAGTTGGGAGAATTATAGGTGACAACGTAAGACAAAAAAAAAAGGATTCTCTTTTTCAAATCACTTTGAGACTGTAACACATACAGCTGAACACACCAATGGAACTCAGCATTACTTTAAAGGGCATGCTGATTTCCACCAATGTGCACATCAGCAATTTTAAATATGTCTCTGCACATATAATAGGCAATCAAACGTCTGAAAAAGCATGATAAATTTCAAAGCCATCGAAGAAAATTAAGTTCTCAATTGATACAACCTTACTAAGATTGAGTCCTTTTGGTTCCTCTCAAAATATCAGAGCTTCAACAGAAAAAATCTTCAACTTACATCACATAAGGCACCATAACGAAGGGTGGATAACAAGGAGTGGACATGACTCTCACTGGTGAAATACAGCCGTGTACGAACATGGCGTTCAGGGGACATAACACCCCTGGAGTAACTTGAAAGAAAAAAAATCTTATTAGACCGTAATGACATGTGTCCCTATTTTAGAAAGAGCTGTCAACAAATAAATAAATAAATAGTACTTTTGAAATTATTGTAAGCTAGTAAGACATTTCAAATATCAAAGCTATGGAATACCTCCTATTAAGTCTTACAGAAATTAATGTAACCATGTAAAAAAGTAGAAGACTTACAGAGGGTGAAGCTTATTTACAGTATCATCATCTTGAGTTCTCTGAAGGTCAGAACGGATTTTTCTAACCAGAGGGGTGCAGTAACCTTTGGCAATCTCTAGTTTCTCAGCCTTAGAAATACCATATTCCTGTGTAAGAAGAAACTGACTTTTACAATTCAGTTAAAGATTAAAATACCTTCTAATTCAAAGCTTGTATATTAAAGCCTATTAGTCATCTACTAGTTTGCCTTGGCTGTAAACTGTTTTGTTTAACATTTTTATTGCACTTGATGACTGATGTCCCTTCAAGTAACAAGCAGTTTGCCTTTTTGCTGTTTGATTTGACACAGAGAAACAGTTTTTCATTCACTAGTTAAACCACAAAAGTGGATTCACCTTCTGGTATGATGGAGCTCTTTTTCTTAAGCAAAACATCTAGGGAATTATTCCTCCTCTCCAGTCCACCCCCCCTGGATTTAGATATCTATGATGGCATTTCACCTCACCTGATTTCAAGTAATTATTGGGTTTTTTTAAACAGTCAATAAAGAGACATAGGCATATTACCTACTTAATATGTCTATCTTAATTTGGGGTAAACCATCCCACAGAAGATCTCCTATTCACCTCAGATAATACTGAAAATGGTAGTTAAATGCAACTGGGAAATATTATAGCTGTTACAGTATATACAATATTTAAAAATCTGCTCTTCCAGAAGCTTCATGCTCTGTGCTGCACATGATATGAAAGCGCTCTCATCACTATGATCGATCTTCTGGTTACCCTAGAAAGCAACATAAGCACTTTTCCTTTGCATTATGTAGGCTTACAAAGTTCTCTTTGTTCTTCTTCCCTCATTTTTACCTACTCTTCTCTAATATTTCATTCAAAATTTAAGCTTAAGAGGCCCACATAACACAACACACACTTAGTATCATTGCTCTTTTTGTCCTCCTTGCTGTCAGGGAGTTTGAGACATGGGGAGAGGAAGAACTTCCCTCACTTGCTGCATAGAATATGGATAATACCTCTCTTACAACAGTGCTCTGTAACTGCAGGGACACTTGGGGAAAGTTTTAGTCTGTTCTGTCCTGTTATCACAACACAATTTCATGTCCTAAGCCTACCACATTTTAGAGCTAACCTGAGTTTAACAGCCTGCAGTATATGGAAATTTAACTTGTCTGCTTCTGGCCTCAAATTCTATGAAACTTAATGTGTACATTTTTATCAGGGACTGTTAGCATTTTGAAGCAGTAGAAAGGTCTTTTTAAATTTAAATTGCTTAAAACAAGTGGAATTAGATAGACTAGGATTAACAGTGTCACGTGCAAAAAGCCTGAAAATGAAATTTCTAAAAGCAGGAAGAATGAAATTAAATGCAGTATCAGAATATAGAGTTGTTCACAGGGGCTCTACTTAAATCTATGAAGAATGTCTGAGATGAACTACTTTATTTTAATACACTACAGTAAAAGAAGCAGACATGTTGACAGCTTAAATTGATAGAAAAATTCACTTTGAATATAGCTTAATGAATTATGAATCAAATTTTTGTTACAAAACATAATCAGCTTGCTACTGGGAAACAGGAGGTAACGTCAAAGTCCTCTCTTACTGCAAAATACAGGAACCTTCAATAGAAAAGACAGAGTAGACATTTTCACAAAATTTGAAAAAGCATTTATTCTACAATTCATTCTGTTTAATAACTGAAAGTGCTTACCTGAGGGATCACAATGTCAGCTAAAGCCTTTGAAAGCCTGTATAATTCCATTGTGTTTTCTAATTTTAAGGAGCCATTGTGCTGCACATCATATTTTATACAGTCATAAATATCAGGAATTTTGCTAATATCATATCTTCCATTTTTTGTTTTAAAGTCTTTTTCCAGCTTGGCCCACCTGCGCAGCATCAATTCTAGTGTTTCACTGTGGTATAGCTGAATATCTGGATAGACAGATATATCATAAGTAAGACCATCCAAGTAACGAAAGGGAAATTTTAATTACACAGCAGTAACAGTCGAATACAGAGGGATAAAAGGGACCAAATAAGTTAACTGTGTCACTTCTAAGAAGAGGGAACAGATGTACATATGGTTAAAAGCATGCTGAAAGCATCACAGCTGCATAGCTACGTCCCGATTGCAGAAAACTTCACTGCAGAAATGCACCACTGGCCCTTTAAGCAAGCTACAGCACCAAGAATAGTGTTCTACAGCACAGATCATATATAAAGAAAAAAACTGACAAAAAAAAAGCTGTTAAAAAATTCTAGGAGGAAAGAAGAGGAGCAGGACAACATATCTGGTTTAGAACAGACCACACATCCCATTTGCCTCTCTCTCCTGCATGTGTCAACAGCAAGAGCCAAGAAACTGGTAGAAAGGATGGATTAATCCCATCTGAGGACAGATTAGACCAAATAAACAAAAACCACTGATAACATGCACAGGTGACAATTGCAGTGCTCAACCTCAGAATGGAAGCTTTTTGCATACTACACACTGCATAGAACACCGATAGAAAATATTCCAGTATTTAGCTAGTACCAAAATCCCATTGTGGTCACTTCCAGCTCTAGTTTCCCTGTGCCATTGGTTCACCACCATTAATACTGAGCATCATTCTATGCAATACTACTACACATCATAGAGCAAGCAACAGATCTTCAGCAAAGATACTTAAATATGAAAAAGTACCTATGTAACTTAGCTTTAATACTATCTGTTTTTCCTATTATTTTTGTGGACTGATGAGTTTCAAATAATTAAGACAAGAATTTCTGTAAACATTTGAGGATCAGCCTGAACTTGTGAACACCACAAAAAGCCCTTACCCGTGATACAACCACATGCTCCTCTTGCTTTTTACTTTAAAATTACGCATATGGAATCAGACTGTGAAAATGCCTAACCCACTGTTGATAAAAGTTCTGCTAAAAGCGAGTTTAACCAAGAAAAGTTATGTTACAATTCTCTCCCATACGTAAACAAGAGAAACTAAATACAACCACAAAAATTTTGAACTACCTGCAGACTTTGGGTCTTCCATTCTTTGCCTGATCTGAGAAGTCAAGCTCTGAATCAAAGAATAGACCTTGTCACATGTCTGTACAGGATTTTTAATAACTTGCATTGATTTTACCAATGAGCTGCTTCCAGATGGAGTGAGCTGCAATTTGAAATAAACACAAAGTTATCTAAACAAACTGACTAGATTTGAAAGAACTCGGGAGATAAGATGGAACGTATGAAAGATTCCAAGTATTGGAAAAAAAGCATTCAAACAGGTTGCTCTTAATTTTAGAAATCATTTCTCAATTATCTACTCCCTTTGATGAATTAAGAAACTATATTGAAAGATAATAAGATTTACTAGAGATTCAAAGGTGACAAGAAATTCATAGTGCAACTAATTCTATACAGTAAACAAGGAATTTCAGGAGTTCCTAAAACTCTTTTTTTGTTCCAAGACAGGAAAATTGGAAAGATGTTTAAACTTTGTACATTCTTAGCAACTTTTCATAGCTTCCTTTCAAGTAACTATTGTATTCAAAAGCTTAGAAAAATTCTGTAAGAAATGTTATCGTTAGGCTAAATGCCTCACAAAATACTTCTTGTTCTATAAAGTAACGTCCTTAGCATAACTGGAAGGAAGAACCAGATCTGCAATACTGATACCTGAAATTTGCCTCTTCCTGTTTTAGGTTTTTGTTCCTATAGGACTGCAGCACACAAATGAAAACAAATCCTTTAAATGAACATATATCAAGAACATGCAAGATGTTCTTCAGAGCTCACTTAATTACAGAAATTGTAGAAGCTACAAATTATCATCATCAAGTGTCACTAAAACAAGAGTCAATATCCATGTAAGTGAGGCTTAGCCTCATTTTTTCAGAAAAGTCTGCATAATTCAAAGTAAGCAAACAAGGACACTAAACAATAATTTATATACATAACACATACATATTTGCACTTTCCCCAGTTTCCTCAAATGCACAGGATAATTTAAATACGGAAAACTTCTGCCCTCTACCTAAAAGTATGCAATTCCTACTTCTGTATTATGACCAAATCAATCAACAGGAAAGGTGCCCTGGCACAGAAAAACAACCCATACTGTTTACCCAAATTGTAAGTTAGTTAAAAAAACCCAAACCAAAACAAAAAAGTTATTAGCACTTTATAATCCCAAAGGTTAGTTACTTTCAGTAACTGTCTTCGAAGAGTGTGCTCTGTTAGTTCCAGCCACATTTCAAATCCCATTATATCTATATAGCAAAAAGAAGGGGAAAAATAAATAAATCCTTGAGACCTTGTACCCTCTCACTTCTTCCAAGTACTGCTGAATCCACTGTTGGCAGTGTTCTGGATGATACTTCTAATCTATATGCTTAAATGAAGCCACACAGAGTATACATGCAGGGTAGTAAAATTATTTTTCAATAATTTGCTCTCAAAACCTTTTCAAACATAGCAGTTTAAGCTTAAACCTCAGTTGAGGACTTGTATTTAGTTGTTATACCAGACAGAGTAAGGGCAATTGAAAAAGTTTCTTAACAATAACAAACATTACATTTAAAACCATGAACAATCATGTGCATTCCGTACTAAGTCAGCATAAACTATATTAATATGCATTAATTTAGCATGTTAATGAGACATTTCCTTTGACTGATTAGAAAGTATTCTACTGGTTTTCAGCATCTTAGTATTCTTAAGAGTTAAAAAAAGGCATTGTAGCAGATTAAATATTGAAACAACTGCAGCAGGCAGGCAATACATTTTGTAATACTGTCACACACTGTCAAAGAAAAGATTACAGAAAGTGTAAGCAATATAGTTTCATTTCGTGAAAAATTAAAATGTTTTTTAAAGGAGCAGTGAAAAAGATATATGAGCAAGGGCCCTATCTACTCCTATTTCAAAGTTTGTAGCTATTCCAATTACTTGAATTTCAAGACGGCTCAAAATATCTAATATCGCAATTGGTATGGCTTCCTTTGTAGTTCAAACTATTGCAAGCACACAGATGATTTTTCAAAACAGATACATAAAATCATTGCTCATTACTTTCACACAAGAATTTGTGTGGTTATTTATTTAATAGGAAACTAATCATATGCCAACCTTATCGTAGTCGTCAGCAGTAAATTCTCTGTCTCTCTGGAGAATTTCATGGAGTCTTGCTTTAACACGATGCTGACAGCTGCTTAAAGAATCACTGTCGCTGTCCAACAGACCATTCATATTAGCACTTTTTACCATCTGGACAAGAATAGGAGTCAGCTCTCCCTCTAAGGCCAGTAGTCCCTGAGGCAAGTAACACAATTAATCAGGCAAACAGATAAAGATGAGTATATAAGCCTATCTTAAAAAATCCACTTATAACACTCATTCAAATTCAAGATGTTATCACTTGTGTATGGGTTAGATAAACAGGGACTGGGCAGACAATGCAGGTATTTGCATAGAAATAGCCCACAAAACACTGCCTGTGTGCAGGATTGCTACAGTAGGTGCAGCACTAATGGTGACATGTCATAGAGAACATGTTCCCCAGCACCAGCTGAAGTGACCCCAGCATCTCAGTGGTGCCAACATTACTCCTGGGAGACCACAGCTGTTCAGCTCTTGGGTTGCAGGGAGTGCATGCTGCCTCCTCCCTGATGTTGGGAGCAACAGCAACCTGACTTGTGGGGGCACATGCTCTGCTCAAGGCATTGAGGCACCAGACAGCAGCTCTGGGAAGAGTTAGCAAACCAAACAGAATCTGGGAGGATAAACAGGAGATAGACAGAGTCTTTGCACAAATCAGGCAATAGCCCTAACCCTGTGTTGCACAGAAGGACAACTAAAGGCTACAGCTGAACAAGAGATGAATGGAGACTTTCAAAATGGAGAAGGCTGGAAACTTTTGTGACTTTTCTGGCAACAGAAAGGCTCTGGGATAAGGAAAGAAATGGCGTGGTGTCTCCTCAAGCTTGCTGATCAAGGAGAAAGCAGGACAGACAGCTGAAATACGTCTGCACCAACACAGGCAGCATGGAAACAAACAGGAAAAATAAGAAGTCTGAACACTTGCAGAGCTTTAAGTTTATTCATATTAGAGAGATATGGTGGAATAGTTCACATGAATGGAGTTTTGCTATAGTTAGATACAGGGCCTTTTGGAATCCAGGAACGCAAGGAAACAGAGTTGGGCTCTATATAAAGGAGTAGCTTGAACACCGGGACCTTTGCTTTCAAATCAGTGACAAGCAAGCTGAGGTCTCATTTTTAAGGACCAGAGGACAAATATGCACAGGTCAACATCATGTTGGCCCTCTGCTACAGACCACCCAATTTAATAGGGAAACAGATGAAGCCTTCTTAACACAACTGGAGAAAGCCTCCTGACTGAAGGTCCTCTGCTCCATGGGTGCCCTTAGCCCTGCGTACCTCATGCATGGGCAATATTGCAGGGGACAAGCAATCCTGATTCTGGAAAACACCCAGGACAGTTCTTTGACACAGGTTACTGATGAATTGTTGAGTAGAGGCATTCCCCTGGACCTGTTACTCAGAATTGTCAGAAATACGGAGGTCAATGGCAGCCTTGGTAATTGAAACCTGATATTCTGACAGATCCTTGGAGAAGTGAACAAGAGAAATAATTGCACTAGAGCCCTGGACTTCAAAGGAGCAGACTTTAGCTTGTTCGTGGAATCCTATGGAGGACTGTCCTGAAGGACAAAGGTGCCTGGGACAGCTGCATGACCTCCAAAGACAACCTCCTCAAAGCACAAGAGCAGTCCACTATGACGTATGGAAAGTCATGCAGAAGGTCAGCACGGACAAAAAAGGAACACACAGAGGGTGGAAGCAGGGATGGGTTACTTGGGAGCAACAGAGGCACGACCCGAAAATGCTGGAGAGGCTGTGGAATCTCCATTCCTGGAGATACTCAGAACTTGACTGGGTATGATTCTGAGCAGTCTCATCCAAACTGGCTCTGTGCTGTGTGGAGTTGAACTAGATGACCTACAAAGGCCCCCTGAAACCTAAACCTCTCTATCACTGTATTACTACTGAAATTCTTCACCTAAGAAGTATTTCTGTAACACTTGCACTGTCTGTGTTATCTCACCCAATTAAAAGAGCTGTATCACTGAAATGAGGAAGTAAGTGAATAAATTATTAACAAGTGGAAGTACTATGCATGTAAAGGGCTACCTGGGAGTAGCAGCAAAAGAGCAATTTGTCTAGCACGAAGAGGGGTAAAATAATACTTTGGCAAGCATTATAGATGTAGGAAGTTCTGAATTCTGTATTTTGTATTAATAGTTCCTATAAATCCACGTTTCTAATGAAAGAAAAAAAGGTTCATGCTTTTTAAACATCACCACAAAATTATTATAATTTCACATCAAAAAATATATCTTAAAAAAAGATATTTCTATAAAGTGCCAAGATGAGGTACTGCTACTATGTCTGACTTATAAAGTATCTATTTTGATAGGCCCAAAGTCTCCTGTAAAAACTTGAAGAAACTATTTCTATTAATTCCAAAAAAAGCATGAATATAGTCTTTACAATTTCCCATTAAAATATATGCAAAGTAGTTTATTAATTCCACATTTCTAATAGCTTCAAACCCTCTAATTTCCTCTATAAAGTTATAAATCAATGAATGAAAGATGGTTTCAATGAAAAGTGTTGCCCTTTGAACTCCAAACCTTCTGGTCCAAATCACTGAGGTGACTGAAAATTGCAATTTTTACTCATGTAAAATGAATACATTATCTCAAATCAGTTCTAATGTCTGTGCTTTAACCAACATATACACAATCTGCCACAGAAATCTGACAAAATTTGAGGAAAGTAAGCCCTAAACAAATAAGCAAGGTGCAAATTAAAAATGTTGCCAATTGCATCCTGGGCTGCATCAAAAGAACTGTGGTCAGCAGCCTGAGGGAGGTGATTTTTGCCATCTACTCTGCTCTCCTGAGACCCGACCTGGAGTATTGCATCCAGCTCTGGGGCCCCCAGCATAAGAAAGACGTGGACCTGTTGAAGCAAGTCTAGATAAGGGCCATGAAGATAATCAGGGGGCTGGAGCACCTCCCCTACGAGGACAGGCTGAGAGAGCTGAGGTTGTTCAGCCTGGAGAAGAGAAGGCTTCGGCAAGACTTTATAGCAGCCTTCCAATACCTTAAAGGGGCCTACAGGAAAGATGGGGAGGGACACTTTATCAGGGACTGTAGTGATAGGACAAGGGGTAATGGTTTTAAATTCAACTAAAATTGATACCTGTCCGTCTGACCTCGGTACGGGGGAAGGTGATGGAGCAGATCATCCTGAGTGAGATCACAAGGCATGTGCAGGACAATCAGGGGATCAGGACTAGCCAGCGTGGGTTCATGAAAGGCAAGTCCTGCTTGACCAACCTGATCTCCTTCTATGACCAGGTGACCCGCTGGGAGTGTGGATGTGGTCTACCTGAACTTTAGCAAGGCCTTTGACACTGTCTCCCACGGCATTCTCCCGGAGAAAATGGCAGTGCATGGCTTGGGACAGGAATACCCTTTGCTGGGTGAAAAACTGGTTGGCTGGCAATGCCTAGAGAGTGGTGGTGAATGGAGTTAA